CCGGACGGGGTGCCTGCCCACTTGGGGTCCAGTCCCCCACGGAGCCCCTGGGACCGCTCAGCCGCGACCTCGTCCCCCCTGGGTCTCGGTCAGAGCCCCCGCCCGCGTGGAGGGAGAGCCGGCAGAGGGCTGTCCCTTCGAGGTCCCGTCCCCCACGGGGCCCCTGGGGCCGGGTCAGTGTGACCTTGTCCCCCCTGGGGCTCGGTTAGAACCCCCGCCCCTCGTGGAGGGACAGCCGGGCGGGGTCCTGTCCATTCGGGGGGTCGGTCCCACGCGGAGCCCCTGGGGCCCGATCAGCCAGGACCTGGACTCCTGCGGGGCTCGGTCAGACTCCTGGCCCCGTGGAGGGAGAGCCGGGCAGAGGGCTGTCCCTTCGGGGGGCCCGTCCTCCACGGAGCCTTTGGGGAGGGACCGGCCAAGGCCTCGTCCCCCCTGGGACTGGACTAGGATCCCATCTTCTGTGGAGCCCATTCAGGACCCCTACTGACTGGGGGGTGGTTTGGTAACTGAGCCAGAAAAACTCCATCAGTCAGGACCCTCGTCCTCCCTGGGACTTGGTCAGGACCCCGCTGTCTACAGCCTAGTCCCGTAGGATCGATTCGGCCAGAACCCCTGTCCTCCGTGGAACCCCGCAAGTTAGGACCCCTGACACTTTGGGAACAGCTCGGTGGGAGCCCCTACCACCCACGGAGCCCAGCCAGTTGAGGCGCCCGTGTCAGGCAGGCCCACTGCAGCAGAACCCCGACCCCTGCGCAGCTCGGCGAGAAGCTTTCAGTTCTTCGGAAGCCTAGCAAGCAACCCCCGACAGCATGTGACCCCCCGCAAGTGAGAACGAATCGGGTGCTCTAATCCTACAGCACGCGGGACCACGCATGCGCGGCACGCTCGGCACGAGCGAGCCGCCCCGCCTTCGGGAGGCTCCACCCCCCCGGATGGCGTCACACACACGGCCCACCCCTACTTCCCTGACGCATCCAGGGCCTCCCCAGCGAGGCCCAGTCTTAGCCAGTACTGCTTCAGGATTGGTTGGTTCAGGCTCCTCTCCCCTCCCTCCCTGAAGCTTCCGCTTCCGGTTCTGACGGGCACTTCGGCCGTAACGATGATCGGAGACATCCTGCTGTTCGGGTAATTAGGGGGGCCAAAGGCTGGGAAGAGAGAGCAGGACGAGGCGAGGGGCGGCCCTAGTAACTGTAATTCTCCCTCTGCAGGACGCTGCTGATGAATGCTGGGGCGGTGCTCAACTTTAAGCTGTGAGTAGGCCCCACCGGACCGCGGCTCCACCCGGAACCCGTAGGCCCGCCCCCGCGAGCGTGAGCACGCCCTGCGCCTCAGGCCCCGCCCTCGCGTCCCTTCCCGCCCCCCGGCCGCGCCCCTAGCCAGTGCTTCCTGCCGTGGCTCTCCTCGCCTCTCCGGGACTTCATTTTTTTTTTTAGAAAGCGGGATTTAGTGAGAGGACAGTGGGAGGGGACCCGGAGGGGTTGCCCCACTCCAGGATTTTAAATCCCCATCCTCCGTCCTCCAGGGGTTCCTGGGCTCACGTCCCCGCAGAGCCTCAGGCCCATCCCTAAGAAATGGCCCTGCCCTGGGCCCTCAGCCCCGCACCCGTCACCCTCGGACTACCCTGTAAACTGTCAGTGACTGCAGACCTGGGTGTGATCTGCGGGCAGGTGGGGGCCCCCAGAGCGGGATGGAGTTGGTCTGCCCGAGGTCACACAGCACGTCAGTGGCAGAGATGGGGCTGAAGCTGAGCGTTTGCAGCCCTGTGAGTTGGGTGCCCGGGTCGGGACTGAGCGGCCTTGATGTCCCATTGAAAGTGGACACTGTCTGCTGCTCTTTGCAGGAAAAAGAAGGACACGCAGGGCTTTGGGGAGGAGTCTCGGGAACCCAGCACAGGTAAGATCTTCCTGGACCCTGGCATTGCACGGTCCACTTCAGAAGGGACAGTTCTTTCTCATGGAGTCCCATCCTGCCGGTTTTTTTTTTTTTTTTTTTTTTTTTGTAGATGAGGATTTTTCAGTCCTGTCTTATTTTTTATTTTTTGTGAGTCGGAGTCTCACTCTGTTGCTCAGGCTGGAGTGCAGTGGCATGGTCACTGACTCACACAGCCCTGATCTCCTGGGCTTATGCGATCCTTCTGCTTCAGCCTCCCTATGTGTTGGGACAGGCCATAGTGCCTGGTCCTAGCTTTCTTTTTAATTGAGAGAGAGAGTTGGGGTGGGGGAGGCCTGAGGATGTTTAGTTCCTTCTGTTCGCCTGTCACCCACTTTTTTCTCCCACCAGACCTCCCCAACAGCTTAGCACTCACATCATTTCTACAGTTGGAATTTTCTGTCATGTGTGCTGTCATCTGGCTAATGTCCTGCCCTCACATTTGACTACAAGCCCCAGACAAGAGACCCTAGCCTGGCGCCTTACAATGCCAGCACTCCACTGCCTGTGAATGAATGAATGAACAACCTCACACGTAGCTGTTGCTTTCAGAGCACTGCAGACCTTTGTTTCTTTTTTTTTCTTTTTTTGTTTGTTTGGGCTGGGGGTCTCACTCTGTCTCCCAGGCTGGAGTGCAGTGGCATGATCACTGCTCACTGCAGTCTTGACCTCTTACGTCTCAGGCAATCTTCCTGCCTCAGCCTCCAGAGTAGGTGGGACTTCAGGTGCCACCACGCTTGGAATTTTTTGATTTTCTTGTAGAGACAAGGTTTCACTATGTCGCCTAGCTGGTCTCAAACTCCTGGACTCAAGTGATCCTCTTGCTTCAGCTTCTCAAAATGCTGGGATTACAGGCATGAACCATGCCCAACCTGTTTTTTTGTTTTTTTTTTTGAGTTGTAGTCTCACTCTGTCACCCAGACTGGAGTGCAGTGGTTGCTCCCGGCCACCGCAGGCTCAACCTGCTGGGCTCCAGCGATCCTTCCACCTCAGCCTTCCAAGGAGCTGGAACTACAGGCGCGCGCTACCACGCCCAGCTAATTTTTTGATTTATTGTAGAGATGAGGTCTCGCCAAGTTGCCCAGGCGGGTCTCGAACCCGCGGGCTCAGGCAATCCACTCATCTCAGCCTCCCAAAGTGCTGGGATTACAGGCTGAGCCACCAAGCCTGGCTGCCCAGCCTGTTTTTAAAGTTAGATGCCAACATTAGATTTGGAATAAATGAGGATATTTTTATGTAAAAATTCAGACGTCTGATTTTTCTTGAAAAAATCTACAGCTTGTGATTCAGGAGAGCTCTCGGCATCTCCTGGGTAGGATTGAGAAGGAGGACCCTGTGGAGGCAGGACCTGGAAACTCCAGCCCAGCCCCAGCCCCCAAGTGTTTATGTCATCTCACCGGCCTGTGCCCTGGCGGGCCTGGAACATACACTTCCTGCTGCGTTTACTCATGAGCTTTGGAGTGTAATGGGGCCTGTACATAACTCTTGGATCCATTCATTCATCACTCAGTCTTCCGGTGCTTGAGCTCCTATGTGCTGGCCCCAGGGCGAGTGCTGGGATACCACAGGGACAAGATAGATGTCCTAGAACTCTCATGGGGTGGGACACGTGGTTGCTAAGCAGGAAACAGATGGTGATGGAGGAGATGTCAGTGAGGATGGCACTGATGGGGTTGCAGGTGGTGATGGGGTTGCTGGTCCTGCCGGGCAGGGTGTGTGAAGGGCGGGTCCTTGGAGGAGGTGACACTGCAGGTTGCCAAGGACAGGGAACCCTGAGGAGCCGAGGTTTTGGAGACAGTCTGATGGCTGTGCTCTACAGATCACAATCGGAACCGCGATGGGCAGGAACTTTGGCGCAAGGCTCAGGAGTGGTAGGAAGAGTGGCCGTGCTCAGGACCTTCTGCACGCCTCTTCCCGGCACGTTTGCCCTCCCTCCAGCCTTCCCCAACTGGGACTCTACACCTGCTGCTCCCCTCTGTGGTGTTCCTCACCCTGGGCCCTCTGCCTGGCTGGCCCCAGGACCCTAGTGACTGCCCTTGTTGAGAGCTCTGGGTGCTGGGCCCTGTGCTAAAGTCTTCCCCGCTGCCATCAGCTGTTTACATGGGAGGAAGTCCAGGGCTGGCCCAGCACAGCTGGGCATGGGCAGAGCTGGGGCCTGACCCACAGTGAACTGCCTGTGCTTGATGTCCGAGGTGGCGCTCTGGTGCTTCCTCAGAATGACTTTTTCTGACCCCCTGACCACCTCAACAGCATGCAGGGTCGAGTCCCCCCAGGATGCCCAAACTTCCCCCCCAGAGCAGTCATCACAGTGGATGATCACGTGTGATTAGTCATGTAGTGATTGTCCTCCCTGTACGCTCCTTCGGGCAAGGACACTGACTTGTTCCTCCCTGTGTCCCCTGCCAGTGGCTGCTGCCTGGAATGAGTCAGCATCTGTTGATGGAAGAGCCTGTTTTCACCATCCTGGCTGGGAGTGGGCAAGATTCTCGCTGAGCAGCGCCTCCCAGCCATCCTGGGGCAGACCCAGCTCTTAGCGTTTCTGGTCCATGCTGGACCAACACAGTATACAGGTTGTGTTGCACACAGCTAATCCTGTTGGCTGAATAATACCAGACCATCTAAACTGTGTTCAGCAAGACGGTGGGCTTAGCATGAGCTTGGATGGTGCTGGGATGTCCAGTTGATGTGCCTTCAGGCTGCTGGAACATCAGATCGCTGTGATGTCATGTCAGGTTGCTGGGGTGTCATCAGGTTTCCAGGACAGCAGGTTGCTGGGATGTCATGTCATGTTACTGGGATGTCAGGTTGCTGTGATGTCATGCCAGATTGCCAGAATGTCAGGTTGCCAGATGTCATGTCAGGTTGCCCGGATGCCATGCCAGGTTGCTGGGATGTCAGGTTGCCAGGCTGTCACATCAGGCTTCCATGATATCTGGTTGTTTTAAGTTTCTGGGCTTGGGATCTGTATTCTGTACTTACCAAACAGCTCCGTTCTGCAGGTACATTAGGCAATACCCTTGTAGATCACCTAGTCTGGACCATTCTTTTTATTCTGGAGGCCTTGAGAGGAAGGTTGATTGACTTAAAACCCTGGAGGAACATTCTGGAACCCAGAACTCTGGAGTCTTAATGTAACAAATCGCCTCTCTTTGAAGAGATTTCTGCTCCTTAGCATCAAAGGGGACCAGAGTAAGTCATCACCAAAGCAAATTTCCCTTTTACTTGTCTGAATCAGGATGCTTTTAGTTGCAAGCACTGCAAACCCAGCTCAGAGTGGTCAACGCAAATTGAGATGTCCAAGGGTAAACGGGCCTTGGGCACCCCGGGTTCAGATCTCAAACCAACCCTCCAGAGTCTGATTCTCCAGCTCTCAATTCTGCTTTCATCTGTGTTGGTTTCATGATCAGGCTGCTTGTGTTGGCAAAGATGACCCTAGAGTAGGGCTTAGCACGTTTTTCTGTAGAGGGCCACGTAGTAAACATTTGAGGCTTTGTGGACCACATGGTGCCCCATGCAGTGACTCAACTCTGCTGTTTTATTACAAAAGTAGCCAGAGATGCTATGTAAATGAATGGGAATGGCTGCCTGCCAATACTTTATTTATAGACACCGAAAGTTGAATTTCATGTAACTTTTGTATCTCGCAAAATATTCTTTTTTTTTTTTTTTTTTAAACTCTTTAAAAAATGTAAAAACCGGCTGGGCTCGGTGGCTCAGCCTACAATCCCAGCACTTTGGGAGGCCAAGGCAAGTGAATTGCCTGAGCCCGCGGGTTTGAGACCAGCCCAGACAACTTGGTGAGACCTTGTCTCTACAATAAATCACACACACACACACACACACACACACACACACACACACACACACACACACACACACACATATTAGTCGGGCATGGCAGTGTGCACCTGTAGTTCCGGCTACTTGGAAGGCGGAGATGGAAGGATCACTGGAGTCCAGCAGGTCAACGCTGGAGTGGTTGTGAGTGTGCCACTGCACTCCAACCTGGGTGACAGAGTGAGACTCCAACTCAAAAAAAAAAAAAAAAAAAGTAAAAACCCAGCTGGGCTCGGTGGCTCAGCCTGTAATCCCAGGACTTTGGGAGGCTGAGGCAATTGGATTGTCTGAGCCCGCAGGTTCGAGACCAGCCTGGGCAAATTGGTGAGACCTTGTCTTTACAATAAATAAAAAATTAGCTGGGTGTGGTAGTACATGCCTATAGTTCTGACTACTTGGAAGGTGGAGGTGGCCTAAGCCCAGCAGGTCGACACAGGGGTGACTGTGAGTGTGCTACTGCACTCCACCGAGTGATGGAGTGAGACTCCAACTCACACACAAAAAATCTGAAAACCCTTCTTTGCTCAAAGCCATACAAAAACAGGAGTTGGCTTTTGCCTGCGGGCCATAGATGACTGGCCCCTGCCCTCCAGCCCTGAGCTTTCATCTTCTGCCCCAAAGCCTGATGGACAGCCAGTGTCTCTCCCAGTAGCTGGGGCAAAAGTCCCAGGGCAGATACTCACTGGAGTGACTTGGGTCACAGGCCCCTACCTGAGCCCTTTAGAGGCAGAGAGGCTTGGTACTCTCAGGGTATCGGCCAGTGGCAGTCACAGCCTGAGTGCAGAGGGCCAGGGAAGCGGAGACCCAAGGGAAAGCCACACTGTCATCAAAGGGGAGCAGTGGTTACAGTGTGGGCACCCACCACAGTGGCAACAATGAAAGTGTTAGCCGTATTGTAAAGATGTTTTCTGCATTTGCAGGTGACAACATCCGGGAATTCTTACTGAGCCTCAGATACTTCCGAATCTTCATTGCCCTGTGGAATGTCTTTATGATGTTCTGCATGATTGTGTAAGTCTGCGGCACTCTCCGGGATGGCCTCCTGACTGTTGTTCTCTGTCCGTTCAGTTTTCACTCTTGTGTCACACTCTGTGCTTTCAAAGTAAGGACTCTCCACACAAGTGAGGAGATGGGAGTCCGAAGGGGTTTAAACTGTGTCGCTCTGGGTCCCCACTGGCCCAGGCTGGGGCTTACGTTGGAACACAGTGTTCTAAGTCCTGGCTGTACCTGGTTCCTCTGCAGGGGCTGCCAAGATATGCCTTCTTGGAGCCTGTGGCCTGTTACCTCTGGCCCGTTCTGCTGTGCTTAGTGTACACGTGGCATATACCGGGTGGAAAATGGGGCTTAAATGCCCAGTGTGCGGCCAAGTCCTGCTCCAGTCTTGCTGGGAGCCAGCAGAGATGTATTTAGACTTGCCGTTTTTATGTCCACTTTCACTTTCTCATTAGGCTGAGAAAGCCCAGGCACATTGCCTTCCTGTCTAGCACCGGGGCCATCGTCCTGAGGCTGCTGCGAATGAACCGTGAAGCTTGCAGCAAATGGACTCAGAGTGATATGGGAGGACTCAGAGTGATATGGGAGGATCTAGGGTTCTTGGCCTCACTGGGCCCATCCCTGCTTACCTCCCTAGCAAGGAAGAGGACAAACACTTGGCTGTCCCAAGTGACTGAGATGCTGAACTTGGGGTTGCTGTGTGGCCTGTGCCAACCCCTGGCTGTCTGAGGGGTGATTTCAGGACTTAGGAGATGTGGGGAGGGCCATGGTGTGTTCCCAGAGAGGCCTTTCTCAAGGTACCTATCTGGCTGGAGAGGATTCGGGAGCAGGTGAGAAGCGCCAGGGACAGAGGGCGTGTGAGGAGACTGAGGAGTTTGCTTGGAAGTGGAGGAAGGGTCACCAGGGTCCACGGAAGGTGGGTCTCCAGCCTTTTGTCTCTCTGGGTTCCCATTCACTCACAACTACCTACCCTAGGCTAGGCCAGGACAGCCACAGTCCCTACCCTCAGTGACTGCGTCAGGTGGGACACGGGCCACAAAACAAGTAAAAGAAACGATGAGTTGTGAGGTGGCGCGTGGGAGGGCTCCTGACTTCAGAGGTGGTGGAGGAAAGGCTCTCTGAAATCAAGGCTTAAAGGACGAGGAAAATGTGGCAGCATAGGAAGTAGTATGTGCGAAGGTCCTGGGACCAGGAAGAAGTTTGTGTGGTTTTGAGTCAGAGTCTTACTGTGTCCCAGACTGGAGTGCAGCTGCGTGCTCATAGCCACCGCAGCCTTGACTGGCTGGGTTCAGGTGATCTTTCCACCTCAGCTTTCAAAGTAGCTGGAACTATAAGTGTGTAGTTCTACAGGTGTGTAGAACTACAGGTATAGCCACCACGCCTGGCTAACTTTTTAAAATTTATTGTAGAGATGCAGCCTCACCAAGTTGCCCAGGCTAGTCTGGGACCCCTGGGCTCAGGCAATCCTCTTGCCTCCACCTCCCAAAGTGCTGGGACTGCAGGTGTGAGCCACTGTGCTCGGCCTGGGGTGGAGGTTTTTGATTCTACCATAACTACTTAGGTCAGAGGTCAATGAACCACAACCCATAGACCAGATCTACCTGTGTTTGTTAATGAGCCTTCGTTGTCATGAAGCCATGTCCGCGTGTGATTGTTCTTGTATCACAGCAGTAGTGTTGAGTGTGTGACAGAGACTGCCTGGTTTGTAAAGCCAGAAATGTTTCCTTGATGCCCTTTACAGAGAAAGTGTGCTGAGCCCAGGACTTAGGCCCACTCTTTTAGCGGGGCTGTGGGTGAGGGAAGATGCTTTTAAGAAAGGGCTTTCCCAGGATGTTGAAAAACTGGAAATCACCTAAATGTCCAAGAGCAGGGGAAGGACCAGAAGGACGCCTGTGTGACCAGCTGTCATGATGCCATCACTGACAGTGTGCCAAAAGGTCTGTCTACCTGGGGAGGTGATTTGAAAGTGATGAAGGCCAGATGACGCATGTATGCAGTTTGGCTTGAGCTGTATGACTCATACAGGATATGTGGTATAAAGCCTGAACAAGTGCCCGAGGGATGGGGGAACACCGTCCAGTGAGGAACATCCATTCCAGATGGGGCACAGAGGTGACCATGCTGCATTTGCTGAGGAGCTGTGGGGCCCGGGCATGACTTCTATCCCCTGCACCTCTGTGTTGTTTGAGCTTTGGAAATGTAAGAAGTCATGAGAAGCCTGAAACATGGGGAGAAACGTCCTTGAGCATTCAGGAATCGGGGGTTCTAACTCCTATGAGCCGCTTTAAAGACATGAGCTGTATGTTAGGAGGGTAAGTAGACAGATATGCGGCAAGGCAAAGTGGTAACTGCAGATGTCACATGGTGGGGGGCAGGTATTCCCTGAGCCATTCTTTGAATTCTTCATGTTGAAATTCTCATAGTAGGATATTGAGAGGAACAGTTAGGAGAATAAGAGGGCGTCAAGCCATGGAGAAGGATTCACAAGTAAAAAGTGGACGTCTATTTTCACAATTCAGTTTTGTGTAGTATTTTCACAAGACTGTGCAACCAGTACCTCAATCTAATTCCAGAATGTTTTCATCGCCCTAGAAAGAAAACCCATTCCCCTCCCCCAACTCCTGGCAGCCACAAATCTGCCTCCTGTCCCTGTGGATTTGTCTGTTCTGGACGTTTCTCTCACTGGAGTCACATACACTGTGGCCTTCCGTGTCTAGCTTCCCTCATGTGGTGTCATATATTCAAGTCTCATCCACGCTGTGGCCCGTGTCAGGGCCTCCCTCCTTGCTATGACTGGATAATGTTCCATTGTGTGGATATATCTGGTTTGCTATCCATCCCTTGGTTGAGACTAATTGGGCTGCTTCCATTTCTTGGCTGTTACTAATACTGCTCAAGCGAATGTTCAGTGCAGGTGTTTTGCAACTGCTGTTTTTCAGTCCTCTCAGCAATATGCCTTAGCCTAAGCCTTCCGAGTAGCGGAACCACAGGCATGCGCCTCCGTGCGCAGCTAATTTTTTTATTTATTATAGAGACGAGGTCTTGCCATGTTGCCCAGACTGATCTCGAGCCCATGGGCTCAGGCCATCCTCTTGCCTCCACCTCCCAAAGTTCTGGGATGACAGACATGAGCCACTGTGCCCAGCTTCTTCATGTACTTGCTGGCTATTTGCACGTCTCCTTGGGGGAGATGTCTGCTAAGGTGCTTTGCCGGTTTTTGATTGGGTTATTACTGGTTTGTAAGAGTTCTTTGTGTATTCTGGCCACCCGTCCCTAGTCAGATGTGTGCTTTCCAAGTATTTTCTCCAATTCCGTGGGTTGGGTTTTCACTTTCTTGATGGTGTTGTCTGAAGCACAAATGTTTTTCATTTTGATGAAAGTCAGTTTATCTGTTTTTTCTTTTTGTTGTTTGTGCTTTTGGAGTTACAGTTAGGAAATTACTGCCTAACCCAAGGTCACAACGATTTATGCCCAAGTTTTCTTCTCAGAGTTTTTTTCTTTTCAGAGATGGGATCTTGCTCTGCCGCCCAGGCTGGAGTGTAGTGGCATGATCATTGCTCACTGCAGCCTTGACCTTCTCGGCTCAAGCGATCCTCCCACCTTGGTCTCCTGAGTAACAATAACTGGTACTACAGGCGTGCACCACCATGTGAGGTCTCCTTCTATGAGTTTTATAGTTTGAATTCTGGTAGTCTGGTGCATGGTCATTTTGAGTTAATTTTTGTATATGGTGTGAGGTAGAGTTTCCAACTTCATTGTTTTACATGTGGAGATCCAGCTGTTTCTGCACCCTCTGTTACTGTTTTTTCAGATAACCTTTATATTTTGGAATCAGTTTAGATTTGTGGAAGTGTTACAAAGATGATACAGGAAGTTCCTCTCTGCATTTTTGATAACTCTACAATTTTCCCCTGTAGGACCGTGTCATAACTCATATACCCATTTGCAAACTTGATGGACATTTCTGTTGTTTCCAGGTCTGTGCTGATCCACATTTTCTTCAGTGAACAGAGTTAACTAATCATTTGTTTATTCAAAGGTCTTTCTTTAATTTATGAAAGTCACCACTAACTTGTAGTGTAATAGATACAAGGGGTTAAAATGTATAGGCTCTTATGAAGTATATATTTTCTTAAACGAGTCACTTTAAAAAATTTTTTATTTTTAATTTCTTGGAGACTAGGTCTCACTTTGTGACCCAGGCTGGAGTACAGTGGTTCGGTCATAGCTCACTGCAGCCTTGAACTCCAGGATTCAAATGATTCTCCCGCCTCAGCCTCCCGAGCAGTTGAGACTACAGGTGTTAGCTATTGTACCCAACTAATTAAAAAAATATATATGTATTTAGACTTGGAGTCTCATTTAGTCACCCAGGCTGGAGTGCAGTGGCATGATCACAGCTCATCATAGCCTCAACCTCCTGGGCTCAGGTGATCCTTCTGCCTCAGCCCCCAAGTAGCTGGGACTATAGTGTGCACCACCATGCCTGGCTAATTTTTTTGTTTGTTTGTTTTTTGTGGAGATGAGGTCTTGCTACTTTGCCTAGACTGGTCTTGAACTCCTGGGTTCAAGCAGTCTTCTTGTCTCAGCTTCCCAAAGTACATGATCCACCACACCTGGCCAAGAAATTTTTTTAGAGACTGAGTCTTGCTGTGTTGCCCAGGCTGGTCTTGAACTCCTGGCCTCAAGCAGTCCTCCCACTTCAGCCTCCGAAAGTGCTGGGATTGCAGGCATGAACCACTGTGCCTGGTGAAAAGCCTCACTTTTATTAAGCCTATAGTCCAGTATTGTTAAGTATAGTCACAGGTTGTGCATCATAGGAGTACTTTTAAAACCAGAAAATGAGGCTGGGCACAGTGGCTCATGCCTGTAGTCCTAGCACTTTGGGAGGCTGAGGCGAGAGGTTTGCCTGAGCCCAGGAATCCAAGACCAACCTGGGCAACTTAGTGAGACCTTGTCTCTACAATAAATCAAAAATTAGTCAGGTGTGGTGGTGTGCGCCTGTAGTCCCCAGCTACTTGGGAGGCTGATGTAGAAAGATCACCTGAGCCTAGCAGGTCAAAGCTATGGTGGCCGTGAACATGCCACAGCACTCCAGCCTGGGGGACAGAATGAGACTCTGATTCAAAAACCCCTCCAAAACAGAAAATGATATAAAATAATCTAAAGCATAGTCACATAAATAACGGTATTTTCAGAGTAATAACTCCCCATCTTCACGGATATGTCTACCTTCTGACTTTTCAGGCTATTTGGCTCTTGAGCCCCAGATGTGGAAACAAGACCTCATCTTCCCAGATGCCGAGTCTCCACCCCTCCATTCCTGATGACTTCCAAGAATGTTTTTGACCAGAAAAACCGCCGCTCTTCCCAGAAAGCCCAGGCTCGTGGTGGGTGGAAAAATGTTCACCAGGATGTACGTGGTTTCCCAGCCTTGTCACTGTTGTCAGAGACACTTTCCTTGTGGTGTCTGAATTAGCATGCTATCTGTCTTTTGAAGTGGTTTCAGGAGGGTGTGTGTCAGGGGCTGTTATAAGATTGCATTCCCCATAGATAAAAGAACATGGCAAGATGTTTCAGTGTATTAGAATCCCTCCTTCTACAAGAAACCTGTTTATGGATCTTTTTGATGTATTTTTAATAACCATCCTTTTACTTAGAACCATAAAGATGTGTAAGCATCATTTTTACCCAGGATTCTGAGCAGGAGGGTAGGTTTTTCAGCTTAACACAGGCTCCGCGCTTGGACAGTGTTTATGAGGATACACAGTGCTGCTTGCTGAGTCTGATAGCATCTAGGCCAGTCCAAGGCCTGCATTCCAATTCCATCCCCATCCCAGCGGGGTCTGCTTGGCTACTCAGTGCAACTGAAGTTGTCCTTAAGACCTTCAGGAGTGGGTAACCCATAGTAGGGACACTGACCTTCCTGTTTAGACTCTAAACTCTTGGCTAAAGGGATGTAATAGGTCCAGGGGAAATATTGCCAATTTCCACAGAAGAGGCATATGGACAGGTGGTGGGACAGACCAGGTAGTAGGAGAAATTTCACTTTGTCTTGAAATCTTTTGTTAAATAAAATGACTCTGGGGCCTTGAATTGTAAAGTTACAAGAATGAGAGTGATTTTATTATGTGGTGATATTGGGACCGTGCTCGGAAAGCTTGGGTTTCTGAGTCAAGGCTGAAACACAGTGAGTCTCAATCTAGGACATACAGTATTGTTCCAGAAGCTTCTTTGAACGGGAGTCCTGGTTTCATTGCCAAAATGAAACCCTTTGGGGTCAGCGCCCAAACCTCACAGGTGTAGGATTTGTTTGTTGTGTTTTTTGAAATCCTAACTTGGAGGTAAACCTGGAGGGACGAAAAAGTAAATATGTGGGCTTTTAGGACTGAGTAGCCTTGAAAATAAAGCTTATTTTGAAAAGGATCTTTTGTTTATATATTTTTTTAACCGAGAGGTCAGCTTCCAGCTTGAGTTGTTTCAAATGATCCTGTGGGAAACACCGAGGATTCCTCCAGGAGGCTGTCACAAAGTCAGAAAGGATTTGCTGCTGGCCTTTGCCTTTTGGGTTTGGCTCAGTGGCGAGGGCTAGAACTGGGCCAGTGGGTCTGGGCTGCTCCTGGAGGTATAGAAAGACTCCGTGCCGTGGTGGGATGTTGCGAGGCCAGGGTCAAGTTGCGCCTTTGCTGCTGCTCAGCTAGTGCAGTCTTCTCCCTCACTTCTGTGACGTGTTCCTGCATCACATCCTGCCACACATCCCCCGTGGCTTGTAAGTCTCAGGGCTTGGAGCTGGATCAGCCTTGCGCCCGCCGTGTCTTTGTCAGAGAGAGCAGGCACGCGGAATCTTGACTGCTCCCTTGCAAGCCTCGTGGATTTGTGAGGGAGCCTTTCTGCCGTCTTCAGGCGAGCGCTGCGATCTCATTGAGGCCCGGCGTTTGTGCGTTCTGGGGCTGAATAGTGCTTGCAGAAGAGAATGCTGCCATTGAGGCTTGGGTTCAATAGTTGTCTTTTTCTCTAAAGAACTGTTGTCTCATTGTTAATTACAGCAGCATGACCTTTTCGGATGCTTGTCAGAGGCTGCTGTACATTTAAAAAGTGGAATCTCATGGATGTGTCTCTTTAGGATGCTTTTCCAGAACCTTCATTGGCATTAGAGGTTATCAGAGTTGGAAGTTTGGGTGTCTGGTGTCTCTCAGCATTTAAGTGCTCAGGGTCTCGGTCAGTTAGGGTTCGAAGCCCATCTCTGCGTCTTCCCAGCGGGACCTTGGCCGATTGTTTCCCTTCTCCAGGCCTCAGTTTCCATATCTCGAAACGGGCCTGGAAGTCGCACCTGCCTGGACTTGTGAGATTCAGCAAAGTGGAATGCAGCCATGTCCCTGCCAGTGCCTGTCGCTGTGGGTGCAGTGACCCTTGTGTTCTCTTTCCTTGTGCTCTTCCATGGGAGAGTGGTCACAGGGGTTTAAGGCACTGGACAGTTTCCAGCGTGGGAAACCTCCTCCTGCCTCTGGGGTCCCAGTTGGGCACTTCCTCAGTCGCGACTGCAGCCGTGTTTGGATAGTGGCTGTGCAGGATGGCTCTGCTGGTTCTGTGTTCTCCACACTGCTGCCAGGGTACTCTGTGGCACTCACTTGTGGTGACACTGTGGTGCTGGTAGATCGCTCCTCGACCTTGGCTTACCTGTTCCTGCCCCAGTGTGGTGACCTTCATTTTCTTCTTTTATTTCCTTAGAGCAGATGACCCTGGGGGTACACAGTGTGGTTGTGCCCCGTCACAGTGACTTTCAGTGCCTGTCGTCTGTTTTACTTTGTTTGAAAGTTTTTTTGTTTTTTCTTTTACTACTAATGCAGATTCATTGTAGAGAAATTATAAAATACAGATTGACTAGAAGGAAAAAAGTCACCCATAATCACGCTCCCCCCAAAAGCATGCCCCTGGGCATATGTATCTCCCGGCCTCTTCTCTGCGCATGACAATCTAGGTGTGGTGCAGCCCTTTTCTTCTCGTACTAGTGTCTTCGCATCTTCCAGCTTGGTTTCCTCACCTGGTAATACAACCTTGTTTCCGTATCAGCAAGTAAGTGTTTTCCACAGTATTATCCTTAGTAACTGCAAAATACCTTGGTAAGGACCCATCATGGTTAATTTCATCAGTCCTTAGTTGACAGACACTTGGCTGTGTTCACTTTTTGTCTGTTATAAAATAACACTGTGATGAACATCTTGGTTTTCGTGGAGTTACGACATGCATGTCCGTGACTTCCTGCTCATGAGTCCCAGCCCTCCTTTCTGTCTCTTGTTGTCCCTTGGGGCTTGAGGCCTCAGGTGCAGCCTCAGGCAGCAGAGCCTCCCCCTGGCTTCCTCCCGTCCTTCCTCCTACCCACCACAGGGCTCCAGTCTGATCGGGTCATAAGACCCTCGTTTCAGAGGCTCCTGCCCCGTCCCCTGGAGGAAGGATTCCTGCACAGACAGGCTGAGAAGGGTCTGGATGGGCAGGCCCTGCTGGCTTCCACCGTGTGCTAACGTCAGATCAGGCTCTTTGTGTCCAGTCACGTCCACAGGTTGTCGGTCAGGCCTGGCCATGGAGTCTCCACGAAAGGCCTAAGAGTCAGGGCCTGGTGCTCCTGGAGAGCTGAGTGTGTGGAGGTTCCTGGAGAGGGGTGCCCTCCCCAACCCCTTGCCCTGTTCGACTCTTTATCTGTATCCTTTGTCATGTTCTTTATAATAAGCTGGCAAACGTTAAGTAAGTGTTTCCCTGAGTTCTGTGAGCCACCCTAGCAAGTTAATTGAACCTAGAGGGGGTTGGGGGAACCCCAACTTGAAACCAGTCAGTCAGAAGTTCTAGAGGCCCGGACTTGAGACTGGCAACTGTGTATCTGTGGGAGGATGGGGGTACTGAGCCCTCACCCTATGGGATCTGATACTGTTTCCAGGTGGGTAAACGTCCTAATAGAACTGGAGGATGCCCAGCTGCTGTCTGCTGCCTAGACCCCACATCTGGTCACAGAAGCCTTCTTCTCTGTTGATGCTTGTTTTGTATGAGGGCAGAGGAAGAACCCTGTTCGAGAGAGTTTTCTTGAAACAGTGTTTATCCCTAATAGCTTTTGGGGGGTCACTGCTTTGTAAAAGAGCCCCCTTGGCAGCTTGGACCCCAAGGGAAAATATATCTTGGCCAACTCTCATCCGTGTCTTTCTCCTAAGAGAAGAACTTGGTCCCAGGTCCCTGGCAGTTCGGACTGGGAGCAGTTGTGGTAGGCTCCCTGGGTTTGCTTCCTATGAATGGGGTAAGTTGTGCTCCACCTGGTTAGCTGTTTCTCTGCAAGTGATAGCAGTTGCCATCCCCTCAGGTGGTGTTGGCCTGCCTTGGCCCGAAAGCACTTCCACCACCACTAAGCCATAGATGGTACCACCCTCTGTCCAGGCAGTGAGAACGGTGCATGGCAGATGCAGAGAAAGCCATTGCCCCGTGCCTGCCCTGATGCTTGCTTGGGGTTCGTGCTGGAACCTGTTTTTAGTCCTCCGCTGTGATCTTGAGAAGTAGAATGCGTCTTCCTTTGTGTGGCCTCTTGTGGCCCTTCCGCTACAGGTTCTGAAGCAGGGGTGTTCCACCACAGCCTCGAGGCCTTCTGCCTGCCTGCAATAAAGTTCTGTTGGAGCCTGGCCGCACCCCCTTATGCACGTACTGCCCTCGGTGGCTGCTTTCCACAGCTGCGGAGTTGAGACCCTATGGCTGCAGAGCCAGAAATGTCGCCTGTCCAGCTCTAGTGCAAGAATTTGCCAGGCCCTGAGCCAGGGACTATGGAGACTCTCACAGTGTCCTTTTCCTCTCAAGCCCTCAGGCAGAATTACCTGTACTCCTTGGGGCCTGGACCTTAGCATAGATATTTGCAAACATGTTTTTCAGATCTGCTGAAAATCCAGCTGGCCATTTTCAGGGGATGTGGTCAGTAGACCAAAGCCCAGTTTTATCTATCTGGACAGTTAGGGAAGAGACTCTTCTGGACTCCCTGGAACTTCTGGGGACAGTGGCATGCAGCGTGGTCCTGAGATCACTGTCCTCAGGAGTGTTAGATGGGAAAGGCCAGCGAGGCTGTCATTTCAACTGTTTCATTATCTCCTTCTTAACCAAATTTGAGTTTATGAAATACTCGACAGATTTCCTGGTGTTTTGTGTTGATGGAAGATGTGTGCTCTTTGTGTATAAACAAAAGGCAAGCTGTTAAGAGAAAAAAAAGATATGAGCTCTCCTTGGGAGTTGGGGAAGTTATTCTGGGGGAACTAAAGCTTCAGTGCATCCTATAGAGTTCGTTGTGTGTGTGAGAAGTGGAAAGGATGGCGGCAGCAGAAAGCAAGATGGAGGTGTGCTCTGACCTGGGCACTGTCACTTATGGAGTGCGCCTGAGGACAGCAGCCTGGTGTCTCTGCCCCTGCATGTCCTCATTTATGACACGGGGACCATGAGGGCATGAGCCTTGACACAGGCCTGTAACCTGCCTGACATGGGACAGGCACTCAGTGTGTGGTTGCTGTTTTTGTCAGTCTTGTTGTTCCTGCCCAAAGACCTCCTCGACAGCGTTTTGTGAAACGTAAATGAGATAGTTATTAATCTCCTGGGCCTGCCATAAATACCACAGACAAGCGACTTGAGCAACAGAGAGTATTTCACAGTTCTGAGGCTGGAGTTCCAAAACCAAGGTGCTGGCTGGGCTGGTGCATGGCAAGGGCTCTCCTCTTGGCTGGCAGGTGGCGGCCTTCTTGCTGCATCCTCACCTGCGCATTTCTCTGTGCTTGTGCTCTGTTGAGGACACCAGTCCTGCCGGGTCAGACCCACCGTCATTTCACCTTAATCACTTTCTGAGAGGCCCTGTTTCCAAATGCAATCACGCTGGAGGTCAAGGTTTCAACATATGGGGGGGCGACAATTCAGTCCATAACAGATGGTCAGAGGTCTGGCTGTAGCTGTTCAGTGGCTGTTAGTTCATCTTCTTGGCTAATAGCATGCCTTGAGGCATTAAAAAACAGCAACTGGTATGGGCTAGGACATCACCCTGAGAATTTCTGTGAAGGGACTTTGTCTCCTGATGCTCCAGAGGAAAGTATTTGTGTGTAAGTGGATGGTGGCCTCAGCCATGGGGTCTCAGATTTTAACATGCCTGTTAATCCCCCAGGGAGCCTTAGTGAAATGTAGCTTCTGCTTAACAGGTCAGGGTGTGCAGTCTGAAGGCCTACATTTCTTTTCTTTCTTTACAGATGGGATCTCACTCTGTCGCTCAGGCTGGAATGCCATGATGCAGTCATAGTCACTGCAGCCTCAAACTCCTGGGCTCAGGTGATCCTCCTGCCTCAGCTTCTCGAGTAGCTAGGACTATAGGCACTACCATGCCTGGCTAATTTTTTATTTTTTGTAGAGATGGTATCTCACTGTGTTGC